GAGGAATTCATGTTTTTATACAATACAAATAAACCCAAAAATGCCGAATTCAGGTACCGAGATTATCTGAAATTTGATCTAGACAAGTACAACAATGATGAATGTAATGCATACTTCAGGGTGCATCCGGTGTGTCAACTGCGATGATGCAGATAGTTAACAGGCCTCCCCGGCCGGCTGCGCTCGCTGCGGTGCAAGTTTGCATTGCATGCACACTGGCGTAAGCACGCTCATGAACTTCCACAGCCTTTTTTGTGTTTACGAAGGCAGTAGAAATTACATAACTGCCTGTGCATTAAAAAGCAAATAATACAGATTAATTCAACACAAGTTAGAAACTTCCCCCAGACTCTGTCTCTGCCTCAGTTGGGCGAACTAGTGAAGGCAGCGTTGTGACTATATTTTCATCTTCCATCTTTAAACTTCACAAGCGAGCACGGCGTCCTAGATTTAAGACGACGGGAAAAACGAGGTGAACACGTTCTCGATTTTGGTAGTGGACGAGGGAGACGACGTAACGCATGCGCAGTGCCTTAAAATGACCTCATCACGTAGCAGTCCACTATGTCGACGTGCAAATCTAAAGGTCCCTAATAAGAACACTAGAAAATTATATTTATGTATATTTTCACTTTTTGTGTTTCTTTTTTTTTTTTTTTACTTTTTACCAACATCTTACAATATCATAACCTCTCTTTATTCTAGTTTTCCTATTTGACTTTGGTTTTAAAATAAAGATGAACCAGTGAACCAAACATGGTAAATGCATTAATGACACTAAAAAATCATAACATGGATATTTTCACTGTTTGTGTGGTTTCTCTTATACTATACCAAAATCTAACAATATCATATCTTTTTTTATTCTAGGTTTCCTATCAACTTAAAATTCTGACCACAGCTTTGTTCTCTGTGGTGATGCTGAAACGGAGCTTGGTATGGGGCCAGTGGTTTGCGCTGTTTCTTTTGTTTATCGGAGTGGCCGTTGTGCAGATACAGCCTGCAGACCCCAGTAAAAGAGCCGGCGAGGCAGTCCACACGGATCAAAGTCCGTTGAAGGGCTTGCTAGCTGTCATAGCCTCTTGTGTCTCATCAGGATTTGCTGGCGTCTACTTTGAAAAAATCCTCAAGGGCTCGAAAGCTTCTCTCTGGCTACGCAACATTCAGCTTGGGTTACTTGGAGCGGTCTTGGGCCTAGGAGCAATGTGGCTAAAAGATGGGGAGGCTATTCAGGAAAAAGGATTCTTCTTCGGTTATACTAAATACGTATGGATGGTGATTGCGCTTCAGGCCCTAGGGGGACTTCTGGTTGCTGTTGTTGTCAAATACGCGGACAACATTCTCAAGGGCTTTGCAACTTCTTTTAGTATTATCGTTTCTACTGTAGCATCGGTATATTTATTTAATTTTTCAATCAATATTCAATTTTCGGTGGGAGCTAGTTTGGTTATGCTTGCAATATTTTTATATGGAAGATCTCAGGCAGATTCTAATACACAAAAATAAATTTTTATTCTCTAAAAATTTTTTAGTTTTTGAATTATCGTTTTGTGTAAAATATTTTTGGTAGGAACCTACTGAATGTATTTATTTCTCTTCTTTCATTACCATCTTTTTTTTTTAGTTCCAGGTAAGCCCTGTCCAGATTACCATATTTTATTTGACAAAAACATGTGACATGCCTAAATAAGGTCATAATGACAGTCTCTTGTCAATAAAATTTGGTTGTCTGGACAACCAATTCTTTTGTGTGTTGGTTAATTTGGGATGGAATATTTTTTTAACAGTATTATGCATTATGACTAATAATTAGAGTTACAGTATTTCAAGGGGTTTTTTTTATTACCAATATTCATGTGAACTTGCAATGAGAAGAGAAATTTTATGTCAGTATAGTGTGATATATTTTTATTATTTATCTTAGAGCTTTATATATGTAATTGCATTTATTGTTGCCAATTTTATGCAAATTTGCAAAGTTGAGAAGCTAAATAACTTAAGTATTGATTAGGAAAATCTGTTATATAGACAAATGCATTATATAGACAGTGCAAGGAAACTACAATGTCATAATTATAGTGTGCAGTTTTTTAAACAAAAATCAATTTTTGTTTACCTGTTGGTTGCTTGTTACGATGACCTTATAAACCACAAAAGGAGAAGCAATATTACTATCCTCATGAATATTAATTAGCTAATAACATTTTATTGGTCAATTCTACTCGATAGTAGTTTTTACTTAGACGCAGGGAAGTAGCACTGTACTAGCCAAAATAGACTACCGCATATTAAACTGCTATGTAAACTGTATGCAAACTGCATAATATTACCCTCACAGTTCGAAATGGCTATTAATGTACACGAACGGTTTTCCCAATTTATTTATGAGGTCTGGTAAACAAAAACAACTATCTTGGTAAAGCAGTGAATTCTATCTCCCTCGGTGTTAGACGATTGGAACTACCTCCACTTCAGTGGCATATCTAGAAGTTTTAGAATGGGGATGCTGATGAGGGGAGGGGGCGCTAAGTTGAAGTTGGGGTGCGCTATTTTGAAGTGGGGTGCTTGATGATCAGTTGAAGGGCACTAACTCGCAAAAGTAGTTGATTTTAGTTGATTTTTAACTACTTGCAAGTGATTTTTGGTGGGGCATGCACCCCCGCGCACTCATAGATACATCACTGCTCCACTCCGCTTCTTGTCGGAAGATAGTCGTGATCATCCAACACCTTGGGAATTAGAATTTACTGCTTTACCTTAAAAAATGGTTAAAATTGTAAACTATAAATGTCATAAATTATATTTATTGCTGTCCTAATTGCAATCATTAAGTTTAAATTTTGCTTTAAAATGGTATAGTTCCTCAAAACGAATGTTCATCAATATAATCATTACCGCATTGGTTGAAACGGTTTGTGCTAAAGCACAGACAATCAAAAACAACGCAAGTAAATATTTAAAATAGTTACGTACCATTTTCCAAATGAATTATAAAATTGATATTTTATATTGTAAAAGTGGCAAAAACAAGCCAAACCAGTCAATCCTTGCAAATAATGTTTTTGAGAAAAGAGCCAAAGCATGTTGGATTGAAAATTTTCAAAATCTATTTTGTCGAAATACATCATGCAATGTTGTTATTTTTCCCATTTTCAACGTTAAATTAACATTTTTTTAATGATTTAATGAAGGTCGGAATTTAAATTATTCTTTTACCATTTTATAAACTTTTATTTTACTGCTTAACCCTGTATTAATAACTAAAAATCAATTTGTTTGCGAGGAGTGACATTTGGCGTGACTGACACAAATGATCCTTAATGAAAATGGCATTGTTGGTTTATTAATATTAATAGTTAAGTATTACTCTATGTCACAAAGGTAATGTATTACATTTTAAGCTGTATTAATTTTTTAATTGTTGATGAGCAATAATGCAACAAAACTATAGTATTCTTTCATAAATGTGTAGGGTTAAGGTAATACTTGTTTTTGAATCAACTATTCTTATAACTTCTTTAGAATTCAGCATAACGTAAAACCTTGAATTGAAGCCCTGGGCTTCTTTTCTTTGCGAACTTTGGATTGGCTTCTTTTCAAGATAGGCTTCTTTTCGTGACTACTTTTGCAAAGTAAAGACGAGGGCTTCTTTTCAAAATGAATGCTGTAAATTTTGTGTATTTGTACTATAAAACAATAAATAAGGCCATTGTAACATCAATCTGTATCATGGAGTGAATTTAACTGGTACTATAAAACAATAAATAAGGCCATTGTAACATCAATCTGTATCATGGAGTGAATTTAACTGGCATTAAATCACCTAAACTATTTCATAAACCATGCTTGAATTTAATTTATTTTGTTTTCTGAAATTGATGTACAGTGTATGTGATGTAATATCTTGAACAGAAGCCTATTCTATCTTAAAAAGAAGCCCATGGGCTTCTTTTTGAGATTGAGATGGACTTTTCGAGGCTAATTTTGCAAACTAAAAAGGGGAGGGGGGGCTTCAATTGGAGATGGGCTTCATCTCGAGGTTAAGCCCACTGGACTTCAATTCGAGGTTTTAACGGTATTAATAGTTAAATTATCTGTAATAGTTTTGGAGCATGCAACTTCTTTTTTGTACGACATCCTAGTTTTAGGTTATATTTATATGTAGATGGTATTGTTATTTATTACTTTTTGTGTACAGTAAGCATGTACAGTGGAGTATTTAGGGGATGTGCGGTGATCGCCCACAAACGCACACACCCCACAAACTCCCCCCATCACCCCTCCTCAACCTCCTCCCCCATTGCATTGAAAATGTCTGAAGCAAAAAACATGTGGAAGTAGTTAATAATCGCCTTATTTTGCGACCTATTCCCTCACAAAATCATCACGTCCCCCTCACTAAATCATCACGTCCCCTCAATAAATCATTGAGCTCCCTCACTCCACGTTTACCCCATCTTCTCCTCCCCCATTTTAAGACTCTTAGATACACCTCTGTTTGTATCCTCCAGTGCTCATAACTTATATGAGCAAGGTTTGATTCTTCAATTTTTTAAATAAATGGCATGTTCCAATAACGGTATATCACATAGTGTGTGTGTTTTTTGTCCTAGATTAATGTTGTATTTAAATCTACATTACAGTTTGCCATTTTGTACCTGAAAATGGGAAGTCTGTCTCCAATGAAAGGGTTTGATTTGTGTTAAATGTTACTTTAAACATTGAAATTAGGAGTCTCTGGTATTTGAGGAGTTTCAAATTGGATGGCAAACTTTATTACTAATGCACTACAGTATTTTTTTTTTGTTTTTTTTTTTGGTAGCTTTGCCAACATTTTGCATATTAATGTAAACTTAAATTTTTTGATTGTGTTTTGTTTTTAAAGTTTAAAAGAAGTTGTATATATTTGTATGAAAGTGTAAAAATCTGACAATAAATTGGGTAAATGGATGAAAATTTGTTTAGTTTTGTGACATACCTGTGGAAATTACAACATAGTATACAACATATATCTTATTTGCAATTAGAAAGTTGAATTTCAATGCAAAATTGTAAAATCACAATTAAAAAATACCATTAATTGACTCATTATTAGGAATATCAATTTATCCATACTTGCGGGCTTATTTAATAATTACCAAAAGCATTAAGTAAGACATGCTATTATATTGGTGATATTGTAAAAAGCGCTAGTGACAACTTCAGTTTAACCGGCGCTATGTAAATTTTAAAAGTACCAAAAGTATTAACCAATTAGAAAACATAATATTATGGTGGTGATTTATGATAATGCATATGCAATAAGACCAAAATTATTAACCAATTGGAAGACATAATATTATTATGGCGGTGATTTATGATATTGTATGCAATAAGTACCAAAGTATTAACCAATTAGAAAACATAATATGGCAGTGATTTATAAGAATATTTAAGATAATCAAAGAAACTGACGAACAAAAGAAAAGCTCCTTTGAAGCTTTAAGGAATTGCTTTATTCTCATAATTGCAAATGCCTCTTAAAACTAGAAGGGAGAGTAAGAGAGGAGGGTGAGGGGAGGATGAGAGAGAGAAAGCTGTAAATTATACAAGTATTAAAAAATATTTAATTCAATTAAATAAATTACGTAAAAAAAGAATATGTACTTTACATACAGAAATGTGACAATAGGCCTACGTGGACGATATTGCATAAGTTAGCTACATAAACTTTAAATTGAAAAAATAAAAGCAAATATCGCAGGAAAACTAAGTAAACGAAATCTAGAAATTAACACTAATACAACTGAAAAATATAGAAAAGAAAAGGAAACTAACATTGGAACACATGCAAATATCTAGGATCGCTGCCAGAAACACAAAAGATACGATCTTTGGTTCGATGTTTAAAAAAAGTTGCTACAACATTGAGGGCGCCATTGCCACATTGTTTACTGTTGCTTTGCGTTGTCATGTTGTGATCATAAAAATTGCGAGTTTTGCGGCTGAAATCTGGCTGCAAACTAAACATTCTTAATCTAACCTAGCAAATTGCAGTTACGGGACAAAGGTAAAGCACTAAGATAGCAATTAGCATTTAATATACAATAAATGATGGGGAGAAATGCCTAGGCTAGGCTAGGCTAGCCGCACAGCAGACATTCGACTCTACGGACGATACGATTACGAGACTAGGCCTAGGCCTACTCCGGCGCCAGCCCTGAGTATAATTCAGCCTCCTTATCATCCGGTGCCTAGGCCTAGCATGTCGGGGCTCTTGTGGTTAATTGCCATTTTTTGCTTAGTTATTGACTTTTTCCAATCATGCTTGATTAAATTGATGGGATTTTAAAATAATTAATTAAATCAATGAAATGTTTATATTAATATTATAGATAATTTATTTTATATTATTTTTACTACAGTTGAGAGCAGCTTTAAAATATTGTTTTGTAATATCTCAAGTTTCTATTTTATTATTAGTGTGACCTACCAATAATGTTAACAATATTATTTGTTAATTACAATTCAGGGGTGGATTTATTTGGGAGGTAAAAAAAAGAAGAAAAAAAAAATGATAGCCCAGAAGAACGCCTCAAATGTTATTTTCGGGCGTCTAGAACACAGAACCTAGGACATTGTTGTTTCGATCGGCCCATCTTTCGGCCCCCCCCCCCTTTTGGACATACGTGGATCCGCCCCTGCAATTAATTAATTGTCATTATAAATCAACTGTGACATCATCACTGCAACTCCCAATGTTATTTGCCTATCCCCCACAGTCCAATAATTGTTCACATAGTGTACGCTTGACTTGAACTTCTTTTTTAGGTTCGTGTGCAAAAGGTGAAAACATCTTTTATAGTATGTATCACACACTGCGATGAAAATTGAATTGTAATTAAAAATTACTTTCATGAAACAAGGTTGATTAGAACTAGTTACTTCAAATAATCAAGATAGCCGTTAACACTGTTAAGTTATATATAAGTTATCAAAGAAAGGTAAATACAGTGTTCGAATACAGGACACTGCATATTTATTTAAGAGTGTGCTAGTTGGCTAGGCTGACAAACCATTTTTGTACTTCCAGTTAGATAATAGTATAGATGAATTTTGAATTAATTTACACTTTTAGACTGGCGCTGTTGTGGCATTGAAGAAGGTTCCACTACGGAAATGGGAGGATGGCATTCCAAACACAGCTCTCAGGTAAGAAGACCCAGATAAACTCATTCATAGTTTGAACTGCACATGCTCTTATTTAAGGTCATTTGAGGTATTTATTGCATATTCAGAACATACAAATTGGCTTTAATTGTCACTCTCAAATACACAAATTAATATCTTAAACACAAACATAGGTATAAGCATTTTTTAACAATACCGTACTCGCTCGAATAAGCGCCCCGTTTGAATAAGCGCCCCTCTCGAATAACCGCCCCTCCTAACATGAAAATTTCCTTAAGTGCCCCGTTTGAATAAGCGCCCCCTCATAAGATTTTTTTTTTTTAGCAAGTCAATAAGCCAATCAATCCTTGGACTGTGGTTGTTAGCATGATTTGAGCTGTAGAGTGGAAACACATTCTTCTTATGTCAATATCAAAATAAGGATATTTCTCTTGGACAGATGAGGGCTCCGATCCCTGGACAGACAGTATATTTCCAACTTTAATCTTTTTACATATTTGTCTATGTCTAGTCCTATTCCTCTTTTTCTTTTTTCGACCTTAAGCACATTCTCATCTGAGTTTTCAAGAAAAATACAATGATCCTGCCATCCTGCTAATCTCAATCGGCCGATGGCCATCAAGCTAACCACTACCCACCACTAATTGCATCTGCTATTTTGCTGTTATGTAAATATTCACACATTCTTGTTATGAGCCATGTTCTCTGGACGATTATCTTTTCTCTAACCACCATTCGTAATGTCCTTATATAATCTTTTTTTCATTCAAAAAATGCCTCTTGAATTTTTAATTATTAAAATAATCTCCTATAAGAACCCCTTGATTTTCATCTATTTCCATAAGCGACCCCCTCAATTTCCACTCTGTTTTCATAAGTGCCCTGTTTATAAACGCCCCGTTTGAATAAGCGCCCCTCAGAAAGTGCAAAAAAATATTTTAAGCGCCCGGGCGCTTATTCGCGCGAGTACGGTATTGTACATCTATTAGTTACCAAAAACAATAAAATCAGAAAATGGAGAGCTTTATGTCTTGAGATAAAAGATATTTATGATGATTTATTATTTTTTAACATTATTTTTTTCAGGGAAATAAAGGCTTTGCAAGAAATAGAGGAAAACCAACATGTAAGTTTAAGTGTTTAAAATTTGAATTGTATTTTTATCTTATTTATCTCGTTAGTTATTTTTCATGTATTGTTTGTAAGTAGCATTTACAATAAAGATGTTTTAATCTTTCTGAAATAATTTTCCTTTACACGTAAGGTGGTGAAATTAAGGGAGGTGTTTCCGCATGGTACTGGTTTTGTGCTGGTATTTGAATACATGCTCTCCGATTTGTCCGAAGTGGTACGCAATTCAGAAGAACCATTGACTGAAGCACAGGTCAAAAGTTACATGCTAATGTTACTGAAAGGCGTGGCCTATTGTCATGCCAACTCAATTATGCATAGGGTAAGTTTCTATTGGGTAATAAAAATCACTTGTATTTATTTATTTATACAACATTACCGTAATAGATCAATATATTCATTGTCCACGAATGTGATGAGAGAACCGATCTAATGTTAATAGAGAGAAAAATGGCAAAGCATCCAGCTGTCTGAGCTTTATAATTTGTTCGGTGGAGACTGTCATGCATACCAGTACCAGTAGTAATGCAGCTTTTGTGATGGAGTTGCCAATCTCCATAAATGGCAAAAACAAGCCAAACCAGTCACTCCTCGCAAAAAAAAATTGACTTTTAGTAATTAATACCAGGTTAAACAGTTAAATGAAAGTTATAAAATGGTAAAGAATTATGTAAATCCGACATTTCGTTATGAAGTTACAGGAGTTTAACCATACAGCTTTTTGAAGAAAATTTTGTTTTAATGTTAAACATGGGGAAAATAACAACATAGCATGATGTATAGATATATAAAGTTTAGTTTTGTGCGATAATATAGATTTTGAAAAATTTTGACATTCCAACATTTTTGGTCATTATCTCCTAAACACGATTTGTGTGAGGAGTGATTGGTTTGGCTTGTCTTCTCCACATATGTATCCTAGATAAAACCAGAATTACAGTGTATTATGAAAATTTATATTGAGAAATTGCACCATTTTTAAATTCAGGACTTAAAACCAGCTAATCTGTTAATAAGTGAGACAGGGCATTTGAAGATTGCTGACTTTGGTTTAGCAAGAGTATTCAGCAATGAAGAGGGACGTCAGTATAGTCATCAGGTGGCCACTAGGTGAATACAACATTACCTTATTTACAAATAATCAAAAATTTCTAAATTTCAAATGTAAATTAGTAACAATATTTAAATTTACATAATATAGACATATTTTTTTATGGTATTAAAATATTGGTTGTAAATTATGACTTCACAATTGACTGATAATAATTTTGATTTTTAGGAAGAAAATAGTTTACAACAACTAGTTCACATTAATAATAATTGAGTTGTTTTATTCAAAAAAGTGTTTAAATGTCGAAAGGTCCACTGATTAATCTCAGATAAGAAAGTATAATACATACTCCAAGTATTGAAATAC